GGGGAAGCATTATAGATACCTCTCAGCTAGTAGAGCCGGTCTCGCTGGCTGGGCGGGACTGATGGTAAGCACCAGTACCGGTAGGATATAGAGACTGGTAGAAATCATAGAGGGAAGCACAATGGACCAGTACAGGTCTCAGTGCATGGGGAAACCCACCTTCTCCAATAACTAACTCACTAACTACTTAGAAAAGTAGAATGGGGGCATGAAATGAATTCATCTGGCTCAGGATAGAGACGAGTGGTGGTCTCTTGTGAATACTGTAATGAAATGTTGAGATATTTTTGAGCAGTTGAGCGACTGGCGGGATCTCAAGAAAAATCGACTGCATCGAGTCAGCTACTTCTGGTGAGCGGATAGTCAAAAGGTCTCAAGAGCATTCCGACAGGACGCTGCTCTTAAGACGCAGAGCGTAACAACAACGCCATTCCATCCAGTCGACGCGGTGGTTCGTTTACCAGGTTTATCCAGCGACTTCGACTTTCCTTCTGGCAGTAAGCCTGTAAGATGGCGACAGCCGTGCGGTTACTAGGCCACTGCTCTACTGGTTACTCGGACACAAGGAAAGGTTTCGTTGTATTCTGACGCAATCTAGATTTGTACATGGCGTCTCGTAGGAAAATGCCATTCATTCATTCATTCATTCGCCAATGGCTCTACAGCCCTTTGTTGGGTCCTGGCCTCTTCTTCAGTTTCGTAAATATTTTTACATAGATGGTAGGACTCCTTGGACGGGGGATGAGCCCGTCGCAAGGCCGCTACTTACACACAGACATATATGCCTTGAGTGGGATCTGAACCCAGGATCCCAGCTTTCGAACAGGAGAAGACAATTCATGCCTTAGATTGCGCGGTCACAGTGATCGGCCACGTAGGATAATACCTTAACTATAACACTTTATTTCATGTCGGTGGAAAGCTTAAGAAAATTCTTATTTTTTCCTTGGTTCAGAGTACTTCTGATTCTGGCTGTATCAGAGGCCAAAGGCTTAGTCATCCACTGGCTTTCTAAAGCGGAGGGCCGGGTTTGATTCCTTGTCAGATGATGCGAGATTTCGTGGTGAATAAAGTGGTACCGAAAGATAGAGGAGCGGATAGAAGTGACCAGAAGACATGGAAGAAGACGTAAGAAGATGCTGGATGACCTTGGGGACAGAAGAGGATATTTTCATTTGAAGGAGAAAGCTCTAGATCGCATTAANGTTTTGTGGTAAGGGAAATTTTTTGGCCGAAGAGGAATTAATAAAATGAGGCTCGAGAGGACAGCTTAATGAGGGGCATCATAAATTCTACTCTTCGCCAAATATATTTAGAGATATCAAATAAAGAGACCGAGATGGGCAGGGAACGTAGCACGCCCTCAACAGACGAGAAATGCATGGAAGATTTTAGGGGCAAACCAGAAAGAAATAGGACACTCAGGAGACATAAACGTAGATGGGAGGGTAACATTCAAAAGAATGAGAGAAGTAGAGAGCCGGGATAGCGCAGTGGGTATAGCGACTGGCTACGTTATGGAGGACCGAGAGATCGGAGGTCGAGTCCNCGAGAATTTACTGAATGCTAATTGGAAGAGGAAACCGATGTACTTCGAAAAGTCTTCCTCACTGCCGTGTTTTCAACCACAGATACCAAATTGACTGCCCTGGGATTGAACCGAGGCTGTCACGGTGGGAGACCGGCGACTGAAGTCCTGATCCATATTACGACCGTTACTAGGACGTTGCGTAAAATAAATCGCCAGGATTCGAAAACCACCCTCTCTTTCACTTGCTGATATACACAGAGGACAGCACTTTTCAAATTTTTCTCTTTTTGGAATTCACGTCTACTCTTCCCTCCCTGACGCTCACTTTGGTGTGAAATTACATTTCCACGCTTGAGAGAGGCTACGTCTGCCGGTGGGGCTTACATGTGCAGAGCGGGGTGAGAAAGAGTTGACGAGTATGCGACTGTAATATAATATACATCCCAGAGACCTGGACATGCCTTCGAGTTATAATTGTGCAATGTGCAGGTCTAGGGTCTCGCATGTTTTCGTGCGGAAAATGTGAAAGAGATGCCAATTAAAACATAGATCCACTCTGACACTGTGTAATATGTTACAGACGTTAATTAATTGTACCGTATTACATGCGAATTTCAGCATTACTTGAATTAGTGTCTAACAGAAACCATAAACTAATTCCAGCCGTCTAAGGTACGCTATAGGACAAGAGGGAGCGGTCTGCAATTATATGTACAGACAGACGACAGTTATGAAGTACTGACATTAAATATATAAAGTGTATATTTATAATTTCTGAGGTTCTCACGGCTGTGGTTATGAAGTCCTGTCTTCTGGATATAACGCCGAGTAGTCTGCAGGCAGCGCAAGCTCTGCTTGATACTTGCTTCATGCTGATTTCTTGCTTGGCTTATTCTTCAACCCTAAAGATGTAGGGTATATGCTTCTCCGAAACGTCGATAATTGTAATGGAGTACCTGTCGTTATATTCCAGAGGATAAACCTCTTCGAAATTATTCTTTTTAAGAGTGTTGTCTTCCGGGATATGGTGAAAGTCAAGCGGTGTTTCTGAGGAATATATATCTCCATCTACAGGGTGGAACAGTAAGCCAAGCAAGAAACACTCATGAAACAGGAAGAACTAGAGATCTGCTTCCTTCTTGTTTCGTGCTAGGTACTTGTTTGGCTTACTTTTCTCAGATACCGCTCCGAGAACTTTAACTACGACGTAAGTATACGTCTTATTATAGGTAATTGAGCGTCGTGTTGTATTATTGCCTTTCCCCTCTCTCTGTGTATATATATAGTCTTATACGATCAGTGATGGTACACAATTATTATAATTATGGCAATAGTTCTCACGTCTTCTTAGGTCATTAGATAATAAAACTAGTACTATAACGCTGATTTATGGACTCATGAAAATATTTATTTTTTATGTAATATAATTCTGCACATCATTTTTCAAATAATTTCAGTTACCAAAGTTACCAAACGCATTGGGCAACTCCAAGAAACTTATCCACACATAAATGACAGGAAAACAACAAGAATT